ATAATAGTACATCTTCTGATTAAAGTCATTTCCTCAATTCCTTTAGCCCACTTCGAAGTTGAACTCGCAACCGATTATTTCCCATAAAATTAATCACATGGATGCTAAATTTTCAGCACAAAAAACGTGTTAAAGAATGTAAAGTCCGCCGGTCCGCCGGTCCGCCTCTCTGAAATCTTAACAAGATGAGCCTAATGCACTCTGCCTAGTAGAGGTTAATATCACTCCTCCAAATTACATCCAATCTCTTACTCTTTTTGTTTCTCGTTTGTTAATATCTTCTCTCAACTCAACCAAAATGCAAACGAGCTTCCCAAATCAAATTTCATTACCTATAACCTAATACTAAAATGGAAATCTTTAAACAACTCAAATTACACAATGACATGGAATCATAAGCTAATGAAAGAGAGCATAAAAAAGATTACCATTTTGAACAGAGCTGTTGGAGAAAAGCCCAGCAGGGGAGCTACTTTGTCGAACAAGATTCGAGTGAACGGCCTTGGGTTGAGTGTGATGGTTCATTGCAGCCGAACCCACCAACCCATACGAGCCATTGAACGAGCTCTGTCTCGGATAATGAGGAGGGAGCCCAGAATAGCCCTGCTGCTGTGAGCTCATACGGCTCTCCGTCGCCGTCACTGTAGACTTGTCGTCTAACTCTTGAAAACTCGACGGCCAAGAGTCCGAGTCGTTGGTGTGGCTGTAATTCGCAAATCTAGAAAACAATCTCTCTGACTCAGAACCCTCAATTGGGTTTTTACCAATGAGGCCCAAATTGCTGTTCTCGTTGAAATTTGCGAGCAGTGAACTCGGAGCAGAGCGAAATCTCAGTAACCCAGAATTCGGTTGGTGAGTTTGGTGCTCTTGGGAGTGCAAGTTCTGATGGGTATTTGAATCCATGAATTGTGGTTGCTCTGTTTGCCACTGTGGGATTTGAATTAATGGGCTCGTGCCAGAATTTGATGCTGGAGGACCATTATACATACACTGCTCACGTAGCTTTTCCGAGAAAATTCTGGGAATTTTTTTTCTTCTTTTTTTTGTTTCTTTCACTTTCTGGAGCAAAATTTCAGCTTAAATTTTAAGCAGAGTGGGATAAGATCGTGTAGAAGAAGCAACCGAATGGAAAAGCTAAGCTTGACCGAAGCGTAAGCCACAGAGAGACAGAAACCTTAGCTAGAAGATAAGCAGGCCCGTAATTAAATGGAACCTTGAGGTCTGTGTTGTCTGTGGAAAACAGAGAGAGATGCAGAGGCTATTATGAAGCGAAGGGAGAGATTGACTGCAGCCTCAGATTAGCTTTTCATAGCACCGAAAGCTAGAAAGATCTTGAGCTGAGAGAGAAGGAAAGGGAGAGAGAGAAGGATAGAGAGCAGTGGATTTAACTTCTTCTTGCTTGTGATACGAGTTGGGATGCGGCCAATGGAAAAGTACAGAGAGCTATCGATCTCTCAAGTCTTAAGTCTCACTCTCACCACCTAAGTGTCTCTCTTTTTTGCTTCTTTTGCTAAATTGCCCTTTGCTACTTTTGTACATGGTACTTTCGGGTTTCCTCTTTTTGTTATTTATATGATCATTATCATTGATTTTACATACCTAGTGATTTTCAGTTTTAAATAACACACACCAATAAAAGAAGCATTTGATTTAGAATATTGATTCCCAAAGTTAGGAAAACTAAAGTGCAATTGATATTGACTTCCACATCAGAGATCTAGTCCAGTGAAAAATGACGTTGACTTGTAGACTAGAGGTCTCGTATTTTAGACTATTGCTTGTAAAAAAAACTGCAAATGCTATTCAAGTATTTATAATTTAGAATAACGATAAAATATGTCTTTTTCTTATAAATGTGTATATATTTTGAATAATTTCTTGTAAGACATCATTTAATTTGTATATTAACAACTTAGGTGGCATGTTGCTTATATATTTACCTTATCGAAAAAGTTGGTCACTTCAAGTGACTTATTTCTTTTGGTCAAATAATGAATTTCATTCTGAAAACTCACTCGAAAAAGGATGGCACAAATACAACAAAACAAAGCAACCAAGTAAGGAAGCTCAAAAGTACTCCACAATACCAGATAAATAGGGACTGTCCCAGATAATAATATCAACAGATAAACAAAATTAAAATTGACAAAAGACTAATCGAATTAAAGACAACATAACAATATAGCAACACAAACTATACAAAAACATGAACACCACAAATCTGCCACTATAAACCAACAACTCTCAAAACAACCCAAAGCAAAACAAACATAATCATGAAACATGAAGGAGGTGGTGCAAGCACTCAAGTCATGGCAGTGTCGTAGCTCTACACATCTTCCAAGATATACGCGAGAAATCGTGTTTCGGGTTATCAACTATAACCAAAAGATGAAGCCAATTCAAGAGGAGAGAAAGAGAGGGTCATAGTGATGCACGACACCAAACTGAGAAGTCATAAATCCACCATATCCAAACTCATCAATACACTTAGAGGAGAGTAGGAACCAATTGGAGTACAACCAAATGACAACATTGAAAGGATTGGAATGGTGAAGATTATGCGGCGCTAGATGTGGAGGTATCTATTTTTGCTAGGTTAGGGGGTGAAGCGGCGCTAATACACATTCTTTTGGTCACTTCAATTCAAGTGGCTAGGCAATGCAACAATGTATAGTTGTGTTGGTCCCAACAAGGATTAAATATCATATTTTATCACAGAAGTGGGTGGGATCCAACATGCCTATTTTTTTCAAGTAGACAACATGCCTATTTATCCCTAAACCCTGAATTAAACAGATTTTTATATTTTCTTACATTATGTAAAAGGATGCCTCAAAGTTCATACCCTAAATTGAACAATAATTGAGAAATTCTTCCACTCTGAAGAACTTTTCAGATAAATATAACGTCAATTTCGAATGTGTAAGGATTAGGGTTTGGTGTAAAATAGTTGACATCATGGAGAGAAATAATTATTTGCTAAATAGTGCCTGAAGAATAGTGTCAAGTTGTGGTGAGAGCTATGGCAGCGAGAGATGGCTGGTGGCGAGGATAAGAAGGGCATAACTTCTGGTACGCTGTGACGTCATCCTTCTTCCCGTGAGCATCAGATTCAGGCTGCATCTGATTCTTCTCGTCGTTTTCTGGCTTTGGATTTTGCCTCTAAAACCCCAGACGCCGCCTTTCCAAAAAACCTCTCCTGTCTGTTAAATGCATGTTCTTTTTTTTCTTCATTTGGTTTTATTGTTGGCTTAAAAAATTAAAATTTTAATTTAATTATTCTTCAATTTTTTTTTTTCTTGGGGTCGTAATTTGGAATATTTTCTGCATTGTTGTCGACCAAAACCTACTACTATATAATTAGAGAAAGAGCATTACTAAAGAAAAAATCAAAGGAGAATTTATTCTTCTGTGTGTCTAATCTAATGACGACACGAGCATAAACCACTGAATATATGTGAATTTTAGTTTTTTTTTGTTGAAAAGGCCAAGATACTAGAAGATAGAGCATCTTAGTAAAATTTCAGACAAAAAAAGCAGTTTTTTAAATTATAATTTGGCTGTTCTTTTGTTTTCACGAATGACTTTTTGAAGGGCACGTAAAAGTACATGATTCGGATTATAAAATCATGTTGTGACATGGAGAAGAACTTACATGTAAATGGAATGTCACTGTGGTGGTATCCAAGTCAATCATGCATTGCCATGTCGGAAAGTTAAAACACATAGTTAAAACACATAGCAACGGGTGATTGGCTCGGGATAGCGCCACTGTGATATTCTCGATATAGATAAGTTTTTCTCTGTGACATGGGTAAAAAAATGGGCTTTCCACAAGTGGGCCCATACTAACATGACATATTATATACGAGAAATTCCTT